CACTGGCCCCACAGAAGACTGTGAAGTTACATACCATGGTCTCACTGCATCTTTCCCCCCACTTTAGAATACAGTGAGCACCGCACTTCCCCACTCTCTAGCTAGACCAAGGCACGTGAGGAGAAACCCTAACGCACGACTCCCTTCCGCTCTCCTTCACCAAGGGTCCTGCCAGTGTAGTTGGCCCTTCTTTGCTTTGCCCTCGCTGGGCTTCTTGAAGGTCGCCTGCTTGGCCTCCTTGACGTCTTGTGAAGCTTGAGCTCTTCGTCCAGCTGGCCAGCCTTTTCCAAGAGACGACCCATGACCATGAACTCGAGCGACTCGAACTCGACCTTGATTCGATTTGCTCGACGAATCCTCGAATTTTTCGTTGGTCAAGTCATCGTGGGACCCATTGAAGGTCCAGGTCAATGCCGCGCCTATCCAGCTGGGAAGCCAGCTCCATAGCCACAACGCTCAGTGGATATTTGCTGCTACCGAATTTCTTGAGGACGTGGGTGTTTCCCAGGTTATCCGTGAGCGCAGATAAAGTGACCACGGAATCTCCTGTCCCCCACTCTGGTGCAGGGGAGAAAACCATGACAGCTGCTAGCGCGCCTATCAACTCCAGGGTTGCAATGGACCGAAAAGGATCACCTTTACATGCGGCGTTCTTTCTATTGAGCCTGAACGAAAACCAGCAAGCCTCCTTCTGCACTGCCTTCTTCCAGGTCTCCCAGCCTCCAATAACAATCTCTTCACCAGCCGCCTTTGCGTCCACCCTGAAGATGTCGTTGGGGCATGTCAACAGAGGCTCAAGCGCCTGTGTTGGCTTGCGTAGGCCCATATGCCGCCCCATGATCCTGTGCGAGCATCTCGCAACCACGCCAATTGCTCTGCCGGACCAATACGCAGCACTAGCTATGCCAAAGGTCCCTCTGGTGTGCACAAACACATCGCCTGTGGCCTCTCCAAGCAGTCGAAAGGCCTGTAGCCCCCAGTCCTCCTCACGCAGAGGGATCAACTTGTGCGCTCGAGCGATGTCGTACAGGACCGAGAACCTGATGATCTCTTTGTTCTCCTCCTTTTCCTCTCGCACCTGAAGCAGAATGGCCGCCGCGTCATCAATGAGAGGGAACCTCATACGGTCTCTGACGCAAATGCGCCGATTGACATCGACGCTGTAGGCGCCATCATGTATCAGGCGCACTTTGCTAGTGCCCAGCTCTTTTGGCACTGCGCCTAGTGCCGAGGGTGTCATGGAACTCCTCTTCTGTTTGTTCCACCGTCCATTTCTCCTTCTCCTCGTAGACGGCGGGCGTCCGGGGCATCTCCTCGTCAACTCCCAAGGGCACCCCTTTGGCAGCCACCTCCTCCAGGAACTCAAAGTCCTCGTCACCCAGAGCTTCGGCCACACTTCTCAATCTTCGGAAGTTGATCTCCGTGCGTCTGTCAGCACAAGCCTCTCTCACGCAGCCAAAGGTCCAGCCGTTCTCTGAAGCCGTAAAACTCTCCTCCGAATGGGGCGCCCCCCCAACTTCCCTCCCGCCAGCGACCAGAAGAGCTTCTTTGCTCCATCCCTTGTACTTGGTCTGCAAGGGGGGGACCGATCCCAGGCCGACTGCTCAAGCTCGTAGTGCCGCCCAATGCCCGCTTGCTCCATGCCGCACTGCTCAACTCACCTCTGCTCAATGTTGCACTGTTGCTCACCCCTGCATTGCTCAATGTTGCACTGTTGCTGGGCCCTGCGTTGCTCAATGTTGCTTTGTTGTCCAACCCTGCACTGCCCAATGCCGACTTGCTCACTGTCGGTGTGCACCACTGAACAAACACAGCACCCTGCAAATTCGTATGCCTCTTGTTGTGCCCCTGTCTTCCGGAGGGGGTCAGGCAGCCCCCCCCTTGATTGTTGCTTCAAGCCCCCTGCCAGTATCGGCTGGAGCCCCAGCCGTGTCCTTGCTCTTGCCTGACGCATCGCACGCGTGTGCGGGGTGACTCCCGAAGCATAGTTGGCAAACATGCAGCCTCCCGCAATTGAACCTGCATCGTTCGCGGGGGTTGTTCCATCTGGTGTGCGGTCGTGCATTTGACGGCCTTTCTTGTTCTTGCTCTTGCTGCCCTTCTTCCCTTTGCCTTTCCCTTTGGGCTGCTCGTAGTGATCCGATGTCCATGATCCTCTCTGCCATGGTGGACTGCGGGAGCGATGATAGTCTCCTCTGCATGTTCCTGCTGTGTTCACCTGGGAGTAGACATTGGGTGTAAGGAAGTGACGTTCTTTGATCGTTGTGTCTGTCATAGCTTCCTTCAATCCCTCCACCATGGTTGCACCTTCATTCGCGAGCTTCACCATTTGCCGCCGCACTTGGTAGTCGTACGACAACATCAAATCAAAGTCCGGCGAGGCGATGACATCCCCGTCCTTGTTGCGAGCTTTCTGGCCGAGGACGTGTTCGCCGAGCATCAAATCCAAATAACGAAGGAAATGTTGTGGCTGTAGGTCACGCAAGCTGGCTTTCTGTGGATACTTCTGCTTCGCTAGAAGATATGCGTTTGCCACTACTGACACATGCGCTTGCGGAATTCCTCCCGGTTTCGGGTTCTGGCATTCCCCGTACCCCTTCTTTATCTTGAGGGCGCCCGTGCTCTTCTCCAAAGATGTCTGCCTCAGCGTCATCCCTGCTGAGGAATTGCACCAGGCTCATATTCTTCAACTCTCCTTGCTCCACCTGGTCGAAGATCTGCTCGAGGGTGGTTGCTGCAGGTGTGGTCCGATCTTCGAGTTTGATTCCGTGCACTTTCTTGAACCTCACCAACAGCTCTTGCGCCTCGACTTGGTCCTCACCGACACTCTTGTACTCGCCGATTCCCACGTGTCCACCAGTGAAGCGATCTCAACGATGTCGCGGGTCTCGTCAAGTGTCAGCACCTCCGCGCAAAACTTCCTCATGCCTACTCGATCATCTGCAACTGTACTCATCCGACTGATGCTCCGGATCTTGGCCACGGAGAGCTTTGCCTGAAGGACTTCATCTACCTCCTTGACCTGAAGCAGGCCATGAAGGTCGGCATCTAACAACGCGATTGCGTTCTTCCTCCTCTCTTCTGTATCGTGACCGATACCCGCCATGAATCGGCCACGCCCTGCAATCAAGCACATAAATTGCACAACTGCCTACCCCCCTTTCAAATGCAACACACCGACAAACACGCGACCCGAAAGCGACCGTCACGAGCCGTGCCTTCCTCCCTACTTAGTCTTAGCTACTAGTCCAATACCGGCATGGCAATGCTCGACGCGACGCCCCTCCTGCGAGCGCGTCCTCCCTGCCGCGCCCCTCACCTCTTTTCATCCTGTGCGGACAGCTCTCTTGGTCTTCGAACTCCTCACGGGATGATCTCTCCTCCTCCTCGGTGTCTGTCATTTCCGAGGAGGACACTTCTCCCGAGGACTCCTCCTCGAGAGTGTTCGATGCTTCCGCCACCCCTTTACAGAAACGCTGCAACTCTTCCACGAGAGCAACAGGCCCCGTGGTCGTCCACCTGGGCCTCCGGCATTGTTTTGCCTGACCCTCGCCCGGCATGAACGTCATCAAACGCATGAGCTGCTCGTCAATCTCCTCCTGCGTGTATAGGTCATGCCCTTCCGGGAGGCCTGCTGACTTGATGATCTCTTGGATCTCCTTCACCCATCTATCGCGCTCCTGCTTCTCCGCGAGCTCCCGCATGGCCAGATCGCTTGAAGCGATGTGAAGCTTCAAACTCAAGACCTGGAGCGCTTCGCAGTGCCCACCATCTGCACCTTGGCTCCTCATCTCACGTTGGTGGGCCACATGCGCATCTAGAAGTTCTTGTGCGCCACGCTTTGCATCCACCAGATGCCGCGTCTTGGCTCGACTTGCGGCCCTCTTCACTAAATCGTCCAGCACCTCTCGGCTGAGCGAGAAGCTGTCCTCCTTCTCTTGAATGCGCCAAATCACGGCGTCAAGGATGCTGGTCTCGCAGCTCTGTAGCGTGGCTAGACGAGTGACGTTCCAACCTGCCTTGGAAAGCGCCTCCATCTCCCAGGTGCTCACGCCAGCCAGGCTGCACACTAGAGACCAGTCATCCCGCTCATCCATTGCGGCGAAGCTAGTCGTTCCCCTCTCTACAGGAACAGAACTCGGGCCGCAATCTGCCGATCGTTTCGTGACATGCCGTGTACTACGTACAACATGCCATATATATATATATAGTTATATTAAGTGGATTACAGTAGGCAGTTCTGAGTGCACCTTCCCGACCATGAAGCCGGTGATGTTCTGCAAGAAGAGCAACGGGATCTTCCGTTGCCCACACAGCTGCACAAAATGGGCGCCCTTCTGTGCCTCAGATTGAGTGTCTCCTGGCCCAGGCATGTTCTTCCAATCACTCACATGGCAAAACAAGTCCAATCTATATTCTTCGCTAGCTCTTGTGCAGCAAGAACACAAATGTTCGATCCGAATCAAAAATCGAAGACATCATTAAGAGTGCAACCGACCAACTCAAAGCATTACACGCAACAAACAGCTATCTACAAAAGAGGTGGTGAAGAATTTACTTGTATGCTGCAATTGAAGCATGGCACGGACTCGCCAAAAAGAATTCCGTTGTTGGCCACAATTCCTTGCGATGCTAGCAAGCATCTGTTTCCGCTTGAATTACAATCTAGGATGCAGCAAAGCAAACTGTGAAGAGTACACCCAAGTTGGATCCGAATTGTGATTGATTTGGATTCCATCAACTCCTCGAACATGGTCAACCTATCTCGAACTCCTCCTGTGACTGAGTGACTGTGATTGATTCCAATTTGCTTCCCGACTTTGTGAGGGAGAATTCATTGAGCTGGTGAGACCAGTTTAGCCAAGACTCCAACAGGATAGCCATGGATGTGTGCAAATCCACAGACCAAGGTGACACCGTAACGAGCTTTGAACTCGTGAAATCGTGAGCCGTCCACCAGCCGGGCGATGACCTGCCGAACCTCAAAGGCCTAACAGAAAGTCCATGATTGGACGAAAGACAACGCCGAAAGAAACACAGGCGATCAAACAGTGTGCTGAATCTCGCACTCGCCATCAAGCAACTCGAAAACAATCACATTTTTTCCGGCCCGCCGGCATGTTCAAGGATGTTCAAGGCCTCTGTTTGCTTAAATCCTCTTAAATCGCTCTCTGGCCTTTGAGTTGTCCTCAGGAATGATCCCAAGCAATTCTTCAGCGTCCAGCAAAGGTTCCTCGGGTTCCACCTGACGCCGACAAGAAGTTGAAGGCAACAATCTTGTACCATCTTCTACACCAACAGCAAAAGGGGCACACGTATATCCTTTATACGGCATACAGATGTATACAGTATCATTATACACATACACCCGAGCTGCATCCTACATTCTGCAATATTTTGCGGATTGTGAGCTAACGAGGCATTGATTAATGTCGTTCATGGTGTATTGTACCGCAACCAAACCAACCCTGGAAGTCTAAACGGGGTGCACTGGCCCCAGCCCACGGGACGGAGGGGAGCAACCCCAGGGAAAACAGCCTGAAAAAAAGTGGCAGCCCCACCAGCACCAGCTTGAGGGGGTCCCAAAACATCGCAAAATCAAATGCGGGCTAGGATGAACGTGACGGGATGCTACGTGAAGCTGCAAGGCCTCAGGCAGTGCAGCATCGTGTCCGCCCGTGTACTTCAGCACTTCTCGACACATTGCCAAGGCCTCGACCCCGAGGCGGGCGTGCGACTTTTCTCTGTGGATGATCAAATACTCTACTGTAATCAAACCTCAGTATCAAATTTGTCCTTTATTTGCAAGAAAACCTTAAATTCTCACCTGGGGTTCGTTCTCTGCAAAGTGGTCTGCCACCCCAGACTTGGAGGTGTGCACGTCAGCACCTCCCAAATCCTCTCGTAAGCACGGATCGCACACAAACTGACCTCAAGGATCTCCAAGGCAACAACTCAACACGAGAACTGAATGAAGAGTCTTCTTGCACAGAACCCTTGAAGCTCCTCAGCAGTTACTTCTTCACCAGTGGAGGCCTTCACCAAGGGTGGCCCTCCGAGGAATATGGTGCCATTCCGCTTCACGATGATGTTCTCGTCTGACATTGCCTTCCGAAGCAGCCTATGAAGGTCTATATATTCACTTATTGTCTGTCTGTCCAGTCCTGCTTTCCGTATGAAACAGCCAATTTAACGCTAATAAACAAAAGTGAAACAGTGAATACTCAAAAGCTAAGTCTGTATGACAAGCAAGGGGTTCATAGTTTAATTAATGATGTTTCATGTATCTCTCAGAGCGCGGTCAAGGTCGGTGTATCTGTCGCCCCCTCTCGCCCCCGAAGTGCACCGGGACATACGCACCACCAGCAGTGCAGGAACCCAGGACAGCGGAGACCTTCAGAAGCAAACCGAACGGTGCAACAAGTGAGGACGCATTTGTCGAACGTCGAAACGTGGCAAATGGCCTGTGGCACTCCATGTTTCGACATCTGCGCCTGGAAGTGCAAACTGACACAAGTGCTTTCTTTGGGACTGATTCTTGCGGCTGAATGCAGCAGTCCGCGTGGGTTCTTGTCTACGCGCGTGTGAACTTTGTTTGCCTTGTAGCTCAATGTCAATTGCTTCGTTTCATGAGATGCGTTCTCCGTCTTTTGAACATGGCATAGAATCAATTTGCAAGCCTCGGCTTTCACATTTATTTGTGCAGTCACGTTTGCTCTTTCGGTGACGTCTGCTGGGCAGCCTGTTTTGACTGGAAGGATCAATTCTCATCTCTAATTCATTCAAGTTTTGTTGAATAATCAGTACAGTATCGTTAATCATTGCCCAAAAAGTGGTTGCTCAAGTCATATCGGAGAACATGAACCCGCAAGTTAAGTGCATGAAACATAAAATTCTCAACGACAAATGTGGGTTGCCACACTGCCTGGTTGTAGAAGATGCGGCCAAAGTGCATGCGATCAGGAAAGACCTGGTCACCGAAAGCTTCTTAGAGTTTAGTTTTCCAAGAAGATCCAAGTATAGATTGCCTACCTCGATCTGAACCGTTCCGAATCGGCCGTCGATCTGGACAAAACTCCTAAAGGCATAACACATAAAGTCATTTACGTTCCACAGCACCTCATCCTGCAACGGAAGGTAGGCGCCCCCCAGAGTCTACCAAGTATACGCAGGGTAATTTGTTCTCCATGGCAATCTGCTGTGCTCTCAAATGCTTCTTGACAGTCATGGGATAGTACGTGCCGCCTGAAACAAAGATTGTAGCTTTGACTCAGTATGTGAATCATCTTGTGTAACACAGTGTGACATCGAAAATCACAAAAATCTAAGCAAGTGCACTACAAAAGAAACATTAGAACATCAGTGTATGCTTGGAGTTTTGGAGTGCTGAACAATTTATACTTGTTTCCAGCTGGTGTGACGCTGGTTGGCCTTTCACTGTTGCGTCGTTGGCCACAAACAAGACCTCACGGCCGTGCACCAGTCCAATACCTGTGACAATGCCTCAGTGACAAAACAATGCTCCATGCAACCATGTATGTATTTCAATGATGGAACAGGGTTGAGAAAAACCCGGCAAATGTTTAGATTGAAGGCAAAAGATTCGCAATCCTGGGCAGCCAGCGGGCCGTAGTAACATGAAACATTTTGCAAACCCAATGCGTCCTTAAAAATGGCCTGCAGAGTGTGCGCTCCCGTCGTAGAGGTCAAAAGCTGCCAGTGGCGACAACTCCAAGAATTTGGTGCCCGGGTCCTTCCAAAGAAAACATCGCCCACTTCCTTTCCATTTCCAGACAACTCTATCAAATGCAAGTTGCCAAGGGTTCAAAGGTGAATGTCAGGTGAACCTACCACCTGTCCGGATCAACAGAACAACATCTGACATGGTGCAACGCCGCTGTCCAACACAGCTTCGATGCGCTCACGTGGCAATGCCTGGCAATCCCAAGCTCATTTAGGTGAATCAAGGGTGAGCCGCGTAAAGCCATGGTGTTTGAACACATCTGAGTCACGATGGTCAAAAGCCTTAACAAACTCAGGTTGCGATACTAGTGACTGTCATTTGAGTTGTTGAAGTGAAAACTGGGCAACCACACGTAGTGAAAACACATCAGCGTGCTACTCTTTTGAGAAGCGTGAGTTTCACAGTCAACACGAAAAATGGGGCTACCACATTTGGGAAACAACTTAAGGGCTCAAACAATTCCCCAAACAGTGTGGTCACACTATATAAAGGTTCTTACGGTAATTAAGATCGGTGCTCACATCTGTGGGCAGCACATTTGGTGCTGTTTACAGTGCATTCCTGTCTCTCGAGATCTTCGAAGTGCATTTTGACTGCGCAGGCTCGCATAAACACCTGGGCCCGAGCGGGTACTTTTCTTGACCGTGTTCTCATTGTGGCACCGGCCACATTTTTGGACTTGGTGGTCGCTTTTTTGTGGCAAGCACAGCAAAGGCAACCCTTTGCACTTGGTGGTTATTGGCGATGCTTTGATTTCGTGGCAGGTGCAGTGAATCGTGAACTTTGGACATGTGGATTGCTTTCAGAATTTGTGAGACGTATCGCGCGAAAAAACTGCCTTTTGAATCCTTTTGGAATTATTGTCCATTGTCCATGTGCTTTCCTCGGTGCAACACTTTGTGATCGTTAATGGGCAAAGATTGTGGTAGGTGGAGCGCTTTGGCAGCTACGCTTTGTGAAAACATGTGAAAACTAAGGGTGCAGCACTTTGTAAACATCGAAATGCACATTTTGTGGCAGGCACTAGGGCGTCCATGCGCAGATTGTGGCAGGAATACAAACCATGCCCGAAACTAATGGGCTGCTGATGGACGAGCCGGAGCACCGACCACCACCAGGATGACACGATGCAGGAAAGAAGCAGCGCTGCAAAGCCCCGGCGCGGAAGCGCCATATATCATGGTCGAGGGCAGAGGACGAGAGTGCAGCAGCGCCCCCAATACAACCCAACACAGGAAACACACTCTGACATTGGTTTTCAGTTACACTCAGTTCCCACGTTGAG